TTGCATTTTGCGTTTTGCGTCCGAAGGCTATGTGTTTGCATGAAAACTACCCGCGCGATTACGGTACGAAATGCGCATCTCCTTCTACCGGTGGCAAAGGTCGAAAGAGATACTGTATTAAGCAGTAAAAAGGAAAAAACTTGGTCACGAACTAAAAATTTTGCTCGCTGCACATTTTATTATATTAAGAAAATTTTATTCAATGTTAATGCTTAGTAGTCGAGGACCATTTTCGATTAAATTACTTCTCGAAGGAGAAGATTGTTCTGGACCGATTTACAGAGAGTGTTTTTTAGATACATCTCTTCAGTATGAACTACGGTCATGCTAAAATACCAAGTTTTACTATTATTAAATAATTTGATAATATAAGAAAAAGTAAAAAAATACATTATTCCTTAACTTGTCTGTAGTTCATACGATTGCGACATATTTCTATTCTTATATTGAATATAACCGATTTTATCACCTTCTAGTAATAAATCTTTGTAACTATCTTTAATGTGTTTTTTTTTCAAATTCCTTAAAAACGTGTAAAAAATATAGTCAACATACTGCTTTCCTATATTACGGCCTTAAATTCATGTCCAGAATAGCCCTTAAGGACAAATTATGTAGCAGTATCTTTGGATAATAATATTGAATATTTTATATAAAGATGAGATGAAAAATATAAATTGATTTTATAAAAGTGTTTATATAAAACTAAACTGAAAAAGTGTTTTCCAACAATGAAAATTTCAAGAGTTTTTTTTAGAATAACTAACGTAAAAGCATTCTGACTACTAAAATTAATGTGGTGATAGAAGCTGGTATATTTGTATAGATATTTTGTAGAAGATTGAATAATCGACAAGAAAATTTATATTAAGAACGTTTAACAATATCTAGTTTGTTTAGTTATTCGAAGATTATGAAGGAATTTTTGGGCTGTTGGACAAAAACCAAGCAGAAAAACCGTGTCATAGAAGGGCTGTTGCAATTAAAGCTCCGCGTCCTCAGATTACCTATCGTGTTATAAGAGGGTTAACTGTATATTGTTTTTAAAAATGGGCCAATCAATAATAATTAAGCTAAGATAATTTAACACGTTCGCGGACAGCAAGGGTTTCAGCAAGATACAAATATTGACAGACATTTTGTTTTTGAATTTATTGTGATATTTGTAATTTGATTAAACACTTTTTATCAGTGTAGTTAGATGTACAGATTTTAATCATATTCAAGATGAATGCTATAGCATCCGCGTCAAGTTATATGCTTGTATTTTATGCAATGTGCTTGCTCAAGCTTTTTTGTACGAGAAAAGATAAGATAATACAAAACTACCTAAAGGATCATTTAGTCATTACCTTGGCATGTATAATAATTACTAAAAACGTAAGGATATATAAAATTACATTCAAAATTAGAATGACATAGCATTCATGTGGCTCTGCATCACAAATAAAAATGAATGCTATAACATTCACGTCCAAGATAGTATAAAAAAATAATCTAGCTATTTGAGGTAAGCTAATGGTAGTAACCTTGAACATTGAAATATAAGTTCGAGAAGTAAAAATGAACTAAGTAAGTAAAATAATCAAGAATCAACTAAACACCAATAGTTCCTTTTGGTCTTCAGAACAAAACTTCGAACTTCAACACTTTGTCGTCCATCCTCATCCTCATGAATCACCACCCGGCGTTCCAACAGGTATAACGGTTGCTAGAAGAGACTCCGGGTCTCTGCTATATATTTCTTCCTAAGTCTTCCGAGTCTACTCCGACCATATTTCTTGTTTATCAGCGAAGAAGCCGCCTCGGGCTTTGTTTAATGTCATAGTTTATCAATGAAATCAACAACGCGCGCAAAATGCATAGAAATGCCAATAACGCGGGTACCGTTAATAATATTATATCGACGGCGTTTGATCATTATTGAACTAATATTTTCAAATCATAGACGACCACGTCAATGGTAAAAAAAATACATCTGATGAATTGGCAAGAACTGCCAGCGCGATTAGGATACCTTGGCAATTTGAGACCATCTGAACATTTTGTCATTTTACAATAAATGTATCATATGTATGTACTATGTAGGACCCGATTTTGATAGTTCACGGAACATCTACTTTGTATCAACTACATCGCATGCCTTATTGAATTTTAGTTAACCTCTTTCTGGGACCTTCTTCCAACTTCATTTTCCAAAAATCACATCAACAAAATCCTCTATCTCATTTCCATTTTATCTGATTCGATATTTTGCGTGTAAAATCTTACTTTGTAAAACGGTTCATAAGCTCAAACGGACCGCAATTTGTTGCCCCAGGCCAGGGGTCGCCAACTCTGGGGTCAATTTAAGCACGATGTATAAACGATACTGACCGTGACGTGCGATACCAGAGTAAATCGATCGATAAAGTAAAAGATTGTTAAATAGTAAAATGTTATTCGAGGAAACCATGGGAGGAAGTATTATCGATGGGAGAGATCTTTTGTAAAATGATTGATAAACGATTATTAGCAAGGTGGGAAAGTTTGCGAAATAGAAAAAGAATCTGTAATATATATATATATATATATATATATATATATATATATCTTATATATAAGATTCTTCTGCACCGGTGTATGATTATTCGGATTTTGATAATTCTTTTCAAAATTTGTCAAAGAAATTTTTTATTATTTTATGAATGCTACAACTATAGTAATATTGTAGAAATAAATAGCATAAAATTATAAAAAAACACTTATCATTGTTTGACATTGAAATCAGCTAGAAATCTCAATTCACTTGAAATTTGAATTTAACTGAAATTATGAGCCTAGATAATATTAGAATATAATACGTATATGTACAAGAAAAATGCAATGTCTACATTATTATTGCCGAAAAGCAGCTGAGATGTGCTATAGATTAAAATAAAATAAAATACAGTCAACAGTATATCTTTGGCAGATGAAATTGTATAATTCAGTTTAATATATATATATATAATAATGCAATAAGTCCAAAATTGCATATACATTTTTTTTTAATTTATGCATGTCGCATTTTGATTTACTAAATTATTTAACAATACAAAAATTATTTCTACTTATTAAAAAAACTATTTAGAATTTTTTTATGTATCAAAAATTCATTTGTTTAGCATTGGATATGGAATATTTAGCAAGTTCATAATCTTAGATTGAAGAGTGCTCATATCAACTAGATTTAGACAAATTAATTCACCTGAGATTTGAACTTAAATGATAATGTTTATTAAATTATTAGTAAGAAAAATGTGCTTTATAAATTATAATTGCCAAAAAGCAACTAATATATCGTACGAGATTATGAAAATTATAGACTAAATTATTGATGTAATTATGTTGTGTGGTAAAATCAAGTGTGATATTGTTCTTTTACCGCAGATACTATATTCCTTTTTTCTAAATTTTTTATATTGCTTATAATAAGACCATAAATGAATCACAAAGGCAGAACATCAAATAGGATATTAAAAAGTATAGGATAGGATTTTAAGAAATTTGGAACTTTTGAATTGTAGACGTAGGTACAGGATAACGTCTGTCGGGTCATGTAGTATATATACAGTACTCATACTGCAAAAGCATATTAACAAACAGTTTCCAAAATCCATCAAAATATACCTCGCCTAAAAAGTCTAATATTGAACCTCAAAAACTGTGTCAGTTATTTCACAGTTAAGTCCAAGACTAAGTGTATTGGATAGTCGCGATAAAAATCTTTATCAAATAACTGTAAGTCTCCAAGAACATTTTTCTACAATCATCGAATTGTGATTGAGTAAGTCCTACACATATGTGTCTGATACGACAAAAGTTCCACGAACACGTTTGCTGCCATAATAAAAAACTGTAGGTAATGATTTCGAGAAATGATATAGGAGATATCAATGAACAAAAGCAGGAGTTTGGGAGATACAATTTACAAGAAGACATGACTACTATTATCATGATCTAGATGCAAAACAAAAGAGGCAGTATTTTTTGATAGTAAATATCTTAACTATTTCCTATTTTACATTATTTTGACCATAAAAATTGATGTCTTCACCGGCAGCCAACGTGTCAATCTGAGGCAAAATAAAACTGACCAACAGGAATGCCTTGAAACCTGCTGTGCATCCACAGAACCTTTCCGCTATACGAAGATTGTTATCTCAAACTAATCATTTACATTGTATAAAATCGTAGTCTATATGCCTGTATTAGTGGGGTAAAATATCGCTTTCGATGTAATAATCGATTATTAAAATTAATATTTTAAAACAAATTTCTAGTCTCTTTGTCAACCCTATAAATGCAGCATATTTTGGACTAATATCATCCAAATATCAGAAATTAAATACTGATGTGTTGATAATTTAAAAAATTCTATTATTTATTAATATGAGTGTTTAAACACCATAGTAATGCTTTAATATTGGATATATTTGTAAATTATGTGCCACTAAAATGTTAAATTTTTTGACACCAAACTGCAAAAGTTAAAATTTTCGACACCAAAAATTCTTGTAACAGTTATTGTCTAGCAGCTAAGTAGTTTGTGAATTTTTGCAATGCCCCAAAAGCCAGTATTATATATAAAATTTCCTTTTGATTTTCGATTTAAAACAATAGTTTTATGTACCTCACTACATCGACTTAAATGGAATTTTCATTGATACATCTTCCATATTGTATACATAGGTAGTCGTTGAGATTTTACTACTTATTACCATAAAAACCGTTATATTCGTGTAAATATTACTAATTAAAATATGTAATTAATTTGATGACAATTACTAATTAAAATTTATATCCTTACGAGTAAAAATTCCAAACGGTTGATGCACGAACCATGAATTTATAAATTATTGCCTAATCAGAACCAGGAATAAATATAAATATTTGTTAATATTGAAATACGTGTTATTAAGCACAATTAAATTTAATATTCTTTGTATTGATTATAGATTAAACGTAAATTTACATACCTTTATTTTGAGCAAATTTCAGGTTCAAAATCATTTGTTCGCATCTGGAAAAAAGAACATATATGTTAAAAAAAAATTAAAAATATATTTATTATATAGAACTTCAAATTTCAATAAATATTTATATGTATATTTAAAAAATATAGTCTAGATAAATTGAAAAAATAAATATTAAGTTGTCATTGTTGAGGTTAGCACAGTTAGTAAAAAAATATATATATATGTATGAAGCTTAAAGCCAAATTGCTGAAACTTTATTTATGAACGAAATTAATATTATAAAATTTTGAAAATTTTTGATGTTTCAGAAAGCTATAATATATTTTAAGATCTTTGAATAAACTTAAAACTTTTACTATAAATTTATTTCTACAAAATTATTTATATTCTGATATAATGTTAAAAAAAATATAAAAAAAACAACTATTGTTATAACCTGTCTAAATTCCAAAGTTTCCATAAATTGTTATAATACCTAACACAATTTTTTGTTATCGAATTGAAGTTTTAAATAATGTTTAAAGTTTGTTAGTACATATATGAATTATCAATTTACTACAGTTGAGAACCTCTATTTTAACCATTAATAAATTCTTTCGTTAATTGAGACAACGGTTGTTCTTTAACAATATATGCAAAGTTCCTTAATTAAATTATTCTTACAAAACAAGTAATTTATCGTCAAATTCAATATATAATTAACAATTAAAACCCAATTATCAATTCTTAGTAGTTTCTTTGAACTTGGGATTAACTAAGAAACTGTACATCGCTACCAAAAACGCATTTAAAATCAATTTTATGGTAATAGACTCTTGAAAAGTCTCTGATTAATTAATCGGTGGTAAGAAACGACAAGATTTGAAATATTATCTATAAATTGATATATGATCTCAACTTATGAATTGATTTATATATAAATGGTTCAGTTAATAGAGAAAATGTTATAGACAACATCAGTTTAAAGCTATTTTTCATATAAAATTTAATGCAACTTTTTAATAATCAGTTTATCATTTTTTTTATCAATCAGTAAATATAAATCCTTACATACATACATACTACCGATAACACCTTTTTCTAAGATATTGCAAAAAAAATCTTGAAAATGTCTTGAAACGTGAAGACACAAAAATTGTTTCTAGCGATTTCATTAACTCATTCCACAAGAAGTTAATAATGTTTATATTACTCAAGATTGTATATAATTTTCAATTAAACAGATTCATGACATAAATTATACATGATTATAATTAAATTATCGTGTCTTATGATGGATATATGGAAATCGCTTTTTCCAATATAATATTCTTGATGGTGATTACATCTTTGCTGACAGCCTTCGCATTTGGATTGATAGGCTATTAAGTAAAACGTGCAAATATCTTGATGTAAGGATCTCTTATTAAAATTAATAAGGATCTTATTAGACAAATATAGACTTGTTGAACCACAAGAAAAACATTTGATGAATTTAAAATGAAATTTTTGAGTATAAAGTTATGTTTGAGGTCGACTTCGACATATTTCACGGAGAACAAAAATTGTGAGGCCAACTCTTTGATAAAATCGATCAATAAAATACATAGCAATTTAATAGTTTTTACTACTAATTTATATGAAGAAAAGAGCGTAACATAGGTCTATTTTATGGGAGAATTAGCCCCTGAATCTGTAAATCAATACTTTTAAATACTCTTTTTAATTCACAGGACACAGTGTATGGTTGTGTTTTTTTTATTACAGTAAACAATTTCCTGAAACTTTTAATTATTAAATCTCGATTTATTTATTTTTATCTAAAATGGCCAGCATTGCATTATTAATTTACACGAGATGATTTCATAGGAAAACTATTATAATCGTTAATGATTCAGTCATTTCACTTTTGTGAAATCAAATGCTTCGAAATCGGCACATGGGCGTGGCTGAAGTGTTGTGGGTATCGAAATTAATTGATTTTTTTCTAGAACTTAATTACAAAGCTAAATTTGGCGCTTTGGAATATTAAAAGTTATGTAATTGTGATTATCTGTTTATTCATATGTATGCATATATATATATATATATATATATATATATATATTTATATATATATGTGTGGTAATTTCATAATTTTATATATTTTTATAAAGGAAACGTCTTAATTTTTTATTTCTTGTTTCATGACAGGTGGAAGCCAAAAATCGTTAAATTTAGTTCCGCATAAAACACAAAAACTGAATAAAAACAAAATTAAAAAATCGCTTTTATTATTTTCATAAAATTGCGGTTAAAAGATTCAGTTTATGCTTCAGATATTGCTACATTTTTGCAAATAGTGCCTCAATACAAATTGTTAAAACATAAAGCTAACTTATTTAACTTTTATTTAGTTTATTTCAATGAATATTTTTAAATTCTAAAGCTAGTTTGGAAAAATTATATTAAGTTTCTTCATGAATATTATAAGCTATGAAAATGATGTTATCATCAACATAGTATCTGATATATTTACTTCCAAAGAAACTAGACAAGACATATAATTTGTATTTGTTTAAAAATTACAATTTCAAAAAAAATTACGAGTAAGAAGAAACATAAAATAAAATAAAAAATAAGATAAAAATAAGAATAAAGAAAAATAAGAAAGATAGGAATTTAAAAGAGTTAGAAGAAGAAGCATGGTTAAAAGAGAGAGAAGTAGAATTAGAATTATTGATTTAAGATAGAATAGAAATAGAAGTTAGAAGAAGCAAGGTTAGAAGAAAAAAGAAGAAAGAAGAAGTAAATTATAAAGAAAATTGGATAGTATGAGATGCATAAAGATTGCATATAATATAATAAAGATACTGAACAAAGCCAATTTAAAAAAAAGAGTGCGCATAAGATTTACACGCGGTTGAAGTAAAACTTATTTGCTACTGTACAAAATGGCATTTAAGTAAAAATAAATACATACAATAACAATTTTCAATATGGTTTATTAGTAATATGGTAACACTCGTGATGCACACATTTATTAGTGTCAACCATTATACTCATTTTTATAATGATAAATTATAAATTATATATTTATAATAGCATTAAAAATATGTATAATATTCAAAAACAATAATGTAATTAAAGTCATACTTCAAATATGACATGATCGGTTTGTTATTGTAATTAGCATTTAGAAATAAACATTCATTAGAGAAATGAAGTAATTGCTGATTAATAAAATCTATAATATTTGTTCATACAGTGGATTATGTTAAACAACGCCTAAACAAATGTTTTCGTAACTTCACTCATCATGTAATTGTGTTTGAAGAACTTCATGTAATTAAAATTAACATACATTCATTGACTGCTTGTATTTTTTTTACTTCTTAGCTGGCGATATAATCTCATTCATTGACCAGCTGTAATATCTATCTTGCCTAAAAATATTTTTCATTTTAATAAATTCAAAGTTTTACAGAAACTACGAATAATATAGCAATAATTTCTACATTCATTCATTCTAACATTTGTTTTATTATGTCAGAACTTAAAATAAAAAACTCTGCTCAAGTTCCTATTAGATTTTTTAGAGATTTCAAAAAAGTATTGTTAAAACAAATAAAGAACATGAAGAAATCTCCATATTTCTATCCACAAACTACATCTGTCTATTTTATGTCAATCATGAAATAATCGTGATCCGCCAGTAACCTACTCCAAAAATATGCTAACCCATATTCATCGTTACAGATTTATACACCAAATAATCTGATACCGAAAACTATTATTATCAATAATGCCAATGCTGAATATCAATATCAATATATATATATATATATATATATATATATATATATATATATCCGATTCCATAACCAATTTTGTTCGTCGTGATGTATATGACCTTAACTTTTCTCGTGAAATGGGTCTAGATCAATTATATCTAACACGTATAAATAATATATATATATATATATATATATATATATATATATATATGGAGGCTTAGTCCATATTAATACCAATTGTAGTCATAATAAATTTCATAAAATATTATTTATATTTCGTTTATTTTATATATGATTAATATCCACGACACTATGTGTTGTCATACTGATCATTAATAAAACGTTATTGGTATTTTCTTATTTATAATAGAAAAGAAAGGTTTCAAGAATTATACATTTTGGCAAGTTCGACTAGGGAGAAACAAAAACCGTGTCCGATCTGACACTTGAATTTCCTTTTGTTTTTCTCAGTGCTGTCACTATATGGGCCAATCTGTCCAGAGACATGTGATGCGTGTTGACAAGCCGCGATGCGTGTTGGCAACCCGCTACATCACTCCGCCCTAATGAAAAAGATTGTTTCGCATCTCTGACTGCCATTCTTGAACTTCCTTGTAAATTTCTTTTGGTTGAGATTGTGTGATAAATTGCCGTGTTGGCTTGTTGAGTTTGTTGATTGCTTACGTGGCCCTTCGCTGGTGGGTTAGCGGTTGAGTAGATGTGGCCCTTCGCTGGTGAGTTAGCGGCTGAGTATATTTGACACTTCGCTGGTGAGTTAGCGGTTGATTGTATGTGGCCCTTCGCTGGTGAGTTAGCGGTTGATTGTATGTGGCCCTTCGCTGGTGAGTTAGCGGTTGAGTGTATGTGGCCCTTCGCTGGTGAGTTAGCGGTTGAGTGTATGTTGCGGTTGCCAAATTGTTTGCTCCCTGTCTGTTGCCATGGTGCTTATTATCGACTTATTTACCATGATAATAAGTGATTTATTGAGCACGTGTTGTTGTTGATCTTGAAGTGTGTGGTCGGAGTCTCAGTTGTATGCTTAGAATGCTCTTCGAATTATGGTAGTTGTGAGCCATTTATAATAATTATTTATATTTTTAAAAATTCTTTTCTTGATTATTCTTGAGACTTCAATTTATTCTGTTACTTCTAAAAATGACTTGATCTTCTTACCTTCTTGCGAAATGTGTGTTACTTGTTCACTCTCGGGGTCACCAAAATATGGAGGTGTGGTCCATATTAAATACCAAAATGATAGACAATAATAAATTCCATAAAATATTATTTATAT